TAATTTATGGATTTTTACGGATTTGCCTCGAGACCAAAGTGACGCTGAGAGCGACAACAACAGAGAGACTGAGGAAGTGATGAAGTGATTCTGAGACTGTTCAATAGTGGGTGTGGTTTATATTCAGATGTGCTCAATATGGAATTTACGGTAATATCACAGTTTAAAGTTTAGATTTGTGTCGTTTTAATGACAGAATGACACATTATAGATCAGAAAGCTAATATAATTTTGGTGTTTTTTTTAAACAAACATCATGCTTTTGGGATTCAGAGGCTTAAACATCTGCTTTTATGAAATTTTTTAGCATTTAAACGTAAACTGTTTTGAAATTTCCTTTGCTGGCATTTTCATTAAGTACGACTTCACTTTTAAGTCCACGTTTACTTTCCATATTTTAAAAGCAAAGCTGATGATTTTTAATGTTTCTCAATATCTGACTCCAAAAATCTCGTTTAAAATGGTTTCGTTTTACAGAAACAAGGATTTATTTCCTGTCATTGTTTCCTGTTTCCAGCTTTGTGAAAACGTCCATTTGTGTCTTCAAGTGGTCTCTACAGCTAAAGGAACACTTTAACTCTGCCCTATCAAATCACACAACAGTGACGTAAAACCGACTTAAAAACCGAAGGAAGGGGATTTGTTTTGGGACGGGCGACACCAAGCCGGTGCAAATCAGAGACCAATCTAAAAACACACTTATAACGCGTTGCCACTGAGTAAAGCTACATTATATACAGACTTCTTCTGGTTAGCAGGGTCGTGATGGAAACAACAACGGAGATGCTCTCAGGTCCAGCCTGGTGCACCAACACAGACACATACCATAGAGATGCGATTTCCCGGTTCGATTACTGGCAGTGACCTTTGGCGCTTGTCACGCTCGCTGTGTTTCCTGTCGATATTGTCATAATCCAATAAATGCACCAACAAAACAAACAAAAGAAGTAAAAATCACCACATCCTACACACTTACGCCTCGCTTCATGAGCCTCAACCTCGGACCGAAGAACGGGTAAATGGAAAAAGATTTTTCTGTGCAATCATCCGACCAACCACTGTCTGGACAACACCATCTGTCCCAGATTAATCGTGCAGCTGTACAGTGTTCTCCGTCCCACTGTAATCCAAGGCCAGACCAAGTCAGCGGGGGTCCGACAGAGAACCCACACAGAATCCAGTGGCGCTAACTGACAGCAGGACGTAAAAGTTTCTCACCTCAGCACCATGGGACAGACTCCTTTTCCTGAGGGCCGGGGAGGGCTCGGCTGATTGTAGAGGAGTCAGACCGCCGTTCTTCAGCTGCTCCCCTGAGGGCGACTTTGGTACAGTCCACACAGGAACACCATCTGAAAGACGACAGGGCAGCGTCAGAGCCGACTGCTGGCGTTCAGTCAGCACCAGTGATACAGAGGTGGCTGGAGTGTTCAGGGCGACTGAAAAGTACTCAGATTACTCTCCTGTTTAGATGTTGAGGTGTGCAGAGTATAGACACCAGGAAGTTGTGTGTGCTGTGTGTATAAATCTGATATTTGATCGATGTGGGTCTGCTGTATCGACTCAGTGGTGAGTGGAATGATGACTGACTTTGACTCTGGTGATAAAATGTTGTGCAGAAATGAAAGAAGTCCTCGTACAGTCAGCATCATAACAGAGCCTTTAAACTATTTCATGCCACTTATTAAAGCGTCATTTTATAACACTGCATTGAATCTAAGTCTACAGGGGATTATTCACCTTCATGATGTTTTAATGCAGCTGTAAGTGTTTTGAGAAGGTCCTCATGTGGTTTTTCAGATTTCTCTTCTTACTGTTTTTCACAGAGTTTGTGATCAATGCACCCAAAAAAGGAGGAAACTACTTTAAATCAAAATGCGTCTACACTCACAGTCCGACATCGCGTATGAATAAGCACAATGTAGAGGACTGAGAGGTGTTAATCCTACACATTTTTGCTCCCATTAGACTGTAACTGCGATATAAAGTCCTGCACTTCTGGGGAAACAGCGCGACCACGACTACAAGCAGAGAGAACTCAGAAATAGTTTTCATGCAGTTTGACACAGTTGTAATGCAAAAATCAAATATTTGTAAAAAACGCAAATGTTTTTTCTTGTTTGGGGGGGATTATTTACTTTACAAAAAATTAATAAAATAAAATAAAATGGAATCAAATTGTACAACAATTTTCCAAGTGCCCACAGCTGTTATCAATACTGGAAAAAATGTGACTCTGCTTGCTGTAGATCATTTACTACTTATGAATTTTGCCTTCCTAAACCCAATTCAGCTGAAAAGTGGCTGAATTCTTGTCCCATGACTGCTGGTGGCGGCTGAGTCGTTGATGGCTTCTCGGCATTAATGAGGAATGAAGAATGTTTTTGTGTTTAGTGCAAATGATTTGTATTATAAAGTAAATTTAACGAAATATCAGAGTTTTAGGCTTAGATTTAGTTCATTTTCTTAATAGATTCAGAGGTCAGGCCTATTGGAAAGTCAAAAATCTGCCAATTATTTCCGTTTTTATCGTGTAATTCTCTGATAAATGGCGTAATTTTGACCATTTTTTAGAAACAGTAAACCCAATGGTGGGTTTGGGGTTCAAAGGGTTAAACAAGGCCTGGGTTGTAATCAGTATTCTCATTTATCTAATTTCAGTGTTATATCAGGATTAAATGAACTCACTGCAAAATCAGTTATTTATGGAAGATTTTGTAAAAACCCAACAGTAACTGTAAGTCTGTCTATTGCCAATTATTAAGAAGAATGTCGGTTTTAACGTGGCCTCAGCAGTCGGTCATTGACCTACATGGTTTGGTGAACAGTCTCCAAAACCACGATGACTCAGGCCAAACACAGGAAAACTGCAGTAAGAGGAACTAAAGGTGAGAACACTGACTGACAGGATATCTGCTGAACAACAACATCCTCAGAACTGCTACTGGAGGGTTTCTGCACCACCAAACCTGCATTTGATGACGAGACCCATCAGTAACTCCTTTTTAGATGATTTCTCGCTTGAATAATAAAATAAATAAGCAAGTTTCCCCATTTAACAGCTTCTAACACACATCACAGTCGTGGACTCAAAGTGCTGTTAACGGAGCAGCACCAGAGGCCCTGCTCATCTCCGCCCCCAACACTCAAATTGGGTTAAAAATCTAACGCACCACGAGGCTGCTCTTTGATATCCATTAGCGCAAAGCAAGCTGTGCTTACGCAGGTCAACACGCCGTCGGGCCCGAGGCGAGTCTGTCTCCGCAAAATGTGCTGAAATAGCCCTCAGGCCAGAACCCTGCGTTGGCCAACTGACAGCTTGACTGACAGCAACCCGGGAAGTGTGAGTGAACCTCCTCTAGTGATCCTGACCTCCTGCACAGCAGAGGCGTGAACAGGGGCGGCTCTGCCCAGAGGCGAGTGGGATGGCAGTGATTTGTAAGTACAGTGAAAATTGAATTTTAGACCCGTTTCCTTTTTTTCTTACAAGGTTATTCTCGATATATTTGGAGGTTAATGGGTTCCTGTGAGTTCATTTAAGGGGAATCTGTGGAAGTGGTTTATGCTGCTCAGGAGTTTTTTTTACACAAGCAACAAACTGGTTTTGTAGCAAAGATGTTCATTTTGTCTTCAAAGTTCAAGTAGACTTAAGAATTTCTTTGTAATAGGACAACTGGTATAAAGTTGTTAACTGTACCTTGACATGTTTTGGCGTTCTTATCTGTCGCCTTCTTCAAAAGTGTCATCTGACGTGTGTGACGTGTCTTTATCAGCTGTTCTTCGTAATATACGAAATCCCCTGTAAAACGTTCGTGGGCGAAACGGGACGGGCCTTCAGCGTGAGGAGGACAGCACACCAGAAAGAGTGCGAAAAAGAAACCACTGGACGTCTTGCAAAATCAGAGAAAACAAAAGCCAAACAAGAAAGCCTAAAATCTGCCATCTCAGGTAGTGACCTGAGATGGCAGATTTTAGGCTTTCTTGTTGATGATTCTCCCGCTTGCAGTGGCAAGCGGGAGAATCATGTGATGAACTGGAAAGATGCAATGATCATAGGAACTGAGGAGCATAAATACAGGCACTGGATCCGGGAGGCGATTGAAATCAGGAAACGAGGCTCACATACAATCAACAGAGATGATGGAGCGTTCCTTCTATCCCACACCTGGATGTGCTGCTCCAGAGATCACCGCGTGGTGGTCGGTGTGGCCTAACTGACACTGGATCTGTCAGATTGGCCACACACAGGAAGAACAGCTGATAAAGACACGTCACACACGTCAGATGACACTTCTGAAGAAGGCGACAGATAAGAACGCCGAAACATGTCAAGGTACAGCTAACAGCTTTATACCATTTGTCCTATTACAAAGAAATCCTTAAGTCAGCAAACTGGTTTATAGACTTTTCTGGGATGTCACAGTGAAGCACCAGAAGTAGAGACGTTGTCACCCCTTTTCCACCAACATGGAACGGATTCGGTTCTGATTTGCGCACCTAATTCTGAAAAAATAAATCAGTTCGCAACCCAAAGGTTACCAGCTGGAACCAAAAAAGTTTTCGTCGACACCAAGTGTGAACAGTGACGAAAGCGTTGGGTGTCATGTATTCTACAGAGACGGCTGGGAGGTTGAGTAAGAAAAAAAGGGCGTGCATTGGTTTGCTGATGAAATTCAACGCTTTGTGATGTCGTGTCCGGAGTTGTGCGATGCAGTCCATTGGCGACACGTCCTCGACTGCAATAGTTCCGCTCAAAACTGGTGGAAACAGTTGGTTTGCTAGACAGAAGTGATTAAAGAACCAGAGATAGTTTGGTGGAAAAGAGGTGTGGGTGAGCAGGGGCATGTTTGGGCCATTGGATAGAAGCATGCAGGTGAATAGAAAGGCTATCGCAGGTCAAACAGTGGAGAGACAAACAGTCATGCAGTAGATGTTTCCAATGGCTTAATCTTCCATTTCTGGGCCGTGACATCAATTCAGACTCTTACCCTACATGTGTTCTCTTTTATTCTCTCTTAAAACAAGACGCCATTCACCTCAGTTTTGGTTAATTGGGGTTCTTGTGCATTAAAGTCTTTGTGCTAAGCTGCAAAGGGGACTAATTTGCAAAGTAAATTTCCTTTATGGATGTTCAGCTCCTTAAAGGAAAATGTTGTTTTGGTGAGGGTGGGGCTTCAAGCTCTTTATGGCGGTGACAGAGGGGAGGGAAGGGGGATCCAAATAGAGCGAGAGCGAGCAGCAAAGATCCTCCGTGACACCAGCTGATAATATGCTGTCTGGTTTGTGACTGGCAGGTTTTTTTTAGTCTGGAGTTTACAAAGCTCCTTCAGGTTCTTCACTCTCTTTGCCGTTACTAGAGCGGACTCAGACAAGTTGCTCTGGTTTTGTACTAACAACAGAAGCCCGGAGGGACCAACGTGCCAGCCAAACTCAGTCCAACCTCATGCTCGGCTCTGTACCAAAGAGTTACGTTGCCCATGCAGTGGCAATGCTTTATTGTGTGGGCATAACAATACCATTCAACCAGCCAACCGACCAGCCAGCCACGACCTGTTATCAGCTGCATCAGACCAGGATGCTGCCCATGCTGGTGAGCAACACTATCCGTCACTCGGCAGAACCGAGGATCCTGACAATAAACTCCTCACTGAGGTGTGGGGGATACATGCCGGAAGCGGGGAGCAGCTGGACCCCCACAGGACTTATCAGCCAGGCAGCGGAAGGAAAGAGGTTTGTACTTGCGGCCCGGTGGTCCCACTCCACACCACCCCCTGTCTGACGAACAGGTACAGGGCAGGGTGACTGCTGGCGCAAAGAGAAGACCAACAAACTGTGAGGACTTCAGGACGGGATCCTGCACCCCCCTAAACACAGACACCAAACCACCTTCCCAAAGTCACAGATGCAGGTGGACCACAGCTTCTTGACTTCAACACTCCTACAGGGCGTAAAGGATGCCTCTGGAAATGTAGTAGCTTGCTCTTGGGAGCTTTCTCTTTGGATTCACGGCAGTTACGATGGATTACAGAGGGAACCCAGAAGTTGGAAAAATGTGCGTCAAACCTTCCATCAGCTTTTTTTGATTAACCAGATTCAGGTGGCAGCAGATTACTTGAACACTGGTTGCCATTAATCTTCAACTCTTCCGGGGCCATTCCAAGGTCTCCACTGGCTCTGATGACTCCTCAGAGCTGGATGTATACCGCTAGGAGATACCGCTAGGAGGCATTTCAACTACCTTTGTGTCCTTTATTTCCAGTAATTGGTCCTAAAACATCTGTCGAATCCCACAAAGAAAGATCACATTTAGAAATCCTGGGAGCGTCAGAAGAAAGCAACTTGACTTCAGTTTTTGGTTCTTGAAGACTTTCACCTCTCGTCTTTTAGCCTCTTGGATGAGGTGAAGCATCTTTAAGAACCAAAAAGTGAAGTACAGTTGTTTTTTTTATGAAGCTCTTAGGGTTGTCACAAGAATCTATACAGACAGCACGTTTAGCACTTTATTATTCACTGATTACCATTTATTATTAATCAGTTTTTAAAGAGTAGAGACTGTTTCGTCAACGTTAGAGTTCTACATGTGTTTGGGAAGCTTCTGTTGGTAAAAACACACATTTTGTTTTCTTTTGTTTGGGCACTCGGATCCACTGTAACTGCCGTGAATGCAAACCGACTCTGCTATCGTCCACAAACGGAACAAGCTGCAGTTCTTCAGAGCCACCTTTCAAGCCTACAAGCAATGAATTTCTGGTACTCAATAGCTTTTCAAGTTCCTCAGTGAAGTTAAATCAGCTCCACTCCTCTTTCCTGGAGACAGCATTTATGGTGCTGTTGTTCCACAGCGACCTGGAGACTCTAAATGGATTACAAACATTTGTTTGTACTTGGGGGGGAAATAGGATTAGAGCACAACATTTGATGGATTTCACCTTATTTTAACAGAGTCTACTCCTGTCTTGTACTTGTCGTCTACCTTACACTGTTAAGAAGTCCTCTTTAATCCTCATCCTTGGTGTTATGCCAATAGAACCACCCTCAGGCTGCAAATGGTTTAAATCGAAACAACTTTATTGGATCCATAGTGATCTGGCACAGAGAGGGTTAAACATGGCAGAGGTCTGACATTTGAGGCACCAGTGTGGATTCCTTTGGCAAAGACTTAGTCCTTTGAGGAGATTTAGAAGTGCATAGTCATCATATTTCGGTTTACTCATTCACACACAGATCCTGATTTTCTCTGACATGCATGTAGGGAGACAGTCTGAAATGCTTTCAAGGGTTCTGTAAACAGTACCGACGATAAGTTCTTTGTCATACACACTTCAGTCATGCTTGTACTTGGCACTACCATTGTAAGGAACTTTTGGCATTTCAATGCAACTGATGACATTGAAGAGAGGAAACAAAAGAAACGAATGGAAAACAGCACAGAACAATTCTAATCACTACAAGCTGTGACAAAAAAACATAAATGGAACAAATAAAACTGTTCAACAGACAAATGCAACATTCAACAACATTTACTACAAACGTTTAAGTTCATGGTACCCATCAGGCAGGGGCAAGAGCCACAGTCTAGCTGCCCCAGCTGGGCCTTGCCGCTGGAGCTGGGCTCTGGAGGAGGAGGAGGAGGAGACTGAAAAGACAAGGGGGATGGGGGAGATGGAGGGGTCGGGGGCTCCAGTAGCAGCACTGGAACAGGGCCCGGGGCGGACTCACCGGAGGGGGCTCCGTGGCCGGCGTGGTTGCGCTGGGAGGCCTGGGACGGAGGCGGCGCCTGGCTGTGGCTCTGAGTCTGTTGCAGGATGTTCAGGCACTCGCCCAGGCAGCTGAGTGTGGCAGCCGACGTGGCTTTGAGCAGCAGCAGGTCCTGATCTAGGCAGGAGAGCGGACCCTTGGTGGGTAGAGAGTCGATGGACTGGACGAGGTTCTTCTGTTGGCCCTCCGCTTGGGACATCACCTGGGCAAGAGCAGCGAAGGAAGACGTTAAAATACAGAATCGACATTACTCGAATTACCACCGATGTTCACATCAACCACCTACGAGATCAAATCACAAGAGAAAGATTGTTCTTGGAGTATTTTTCTGCATAATTTAACTTCAATGCACTTCGTCCACCAGTGTGAGTCCCCACAACCCCTGAATGGAAGAATTTCACATCTCGAGCCTCCAGATTCTCCTGCATGACTTCATCCTCACCCTGAAAATGGTGAATCACGCAAGTTCAGTCCCAGTTTGAGAAACAGTCAGACTGTGCACCTCATATGAGTCGGGTTCATGGAGTTCAAAGCCGCTTTCGGCTGCATTGTCCTGGAGAAACAGCAGCCACCTCAAAGCTTTCTTTTCCTTTCTGCTTTAAACGAGTTTTTGTGAACAGTGACATCAGGCTTTATGGTTTACAGGGTTGCCCCAAAATGGGAATCACACCGCCATTCGATATGAAGACTCCTACTAATCCATTTCTAAACCAGCCTTTCAAAACAACTTAATTTAACATGAATATAATCCGGCACACTGGATGGCTAGGAGACAATCCCTTTATATGTGCTTCAGGAGAAATCCTCAGATACATCCTGTTGCTCTTTCAGGCACTTAAAGGAGACCAGCTGAAAGTATTTTATAGTTTTCTTTATCCTTTCTTAATCCCAAAACCAAATAACCCAAAAAAAAATAGTCGTTTTCTGTCCTACATACCTCCATTGTTGTCCAGAAACCACAGAACAAACATGGACACTGCAGGGTATTTTAGTTCCTTGCTTCATAAATGCCCACAAGAACTCCTAACTATCCACAACAAATGTAGACTTTACTTCGTGTGCAAAGCAGATTTAGGCGATTATTTAGCCTTTTTAAAAATGCATCTGTAGTTTTTCTTAAACTGTAGATGCATGACTTGCTTGTGAATATTTAGTCAGTAGAAGCATCGTGCTTGGGGTCAAGTGCCACTCATTGGACAGGAAAGTTGGAAAGAACTGAGCCTCTCTGACCCTCTGAAACCTAAAAGTATGTTTTGTTTTGAAATTTTTTATACAGTAAAGAGAAAAAAAAACTACTGCATTTATCAATTTATCATCCCTGACATGCCACTCCATCAGGAAATCTGAGATAATATTGAAACTGCTCGGAGTTCAGAGGATCGTGAGCACTTGCTGACAACAATAAAACCTTCAGTGTACTGCTGACTCACTAATTACAGACCTAATTAGTTTAATTAGTCATTGTGATGAGACAAGTCATCAAATTAAAAAACAAAAAATGCTTGAGAAACTAGACATATTCTTGTCTTAATGGCTATTTTTAAAGCCGATAATTGATCATCAGGGACGTTAGAATCTACAGTAAACTTTTATTACACTTGTAATATCTTGGCACATTTGCAAATAACTTTGGCTGGAAAAAAAAAAAGAGTTTGTACGGATGTGAAATGTGGATACACGCATGACAAAGAAATATAAATGAAACTGTACATCCTCCAGTATCTTACACAAGCACACTGCGTAGGTAGTGACATTAATTCTGCTGCTATCACCTCCGTATCCTGACTGCAGGCAACAACTGATCCCCACAACCATCTGCTCTGAGACGACAGCGCCAAAAAGAAACTGCCGAAACTCTTCAAACCAGAAAAGTTTCTCTCCGAACTCCTGCAGACACACAGAAACATCTCTGAAAATTATTTCCGTGCGACTCCCCCCTTTCGCAGTCTAAATGCATCACAAAGGGAAGAAGACAAAGTCAGCTCTGGCTGGCGGGTGATGCAGCGAGCTTCTCTCAGGGCTAATGAATCTGGGTTGTTTATCAGCCTGGAAATGTTGTATTCATTAATATTGTATAGCTTCACAAACACTTTTCGCCGCGCACACACTCGGATGGCACATCTGTCCTCCTGCATCAGAGTTATTTCGGAGTCGCTGAGAAGCTGTTGCACTGAGGTTGTATGTGGCAGCCGCGTTCGTGAGCAGGAATTTCATTTCATTATTTTTAAATGCACAGCACTTGTGCAATCATCGAGTCTTTCACCCGGGTCGGATGTAGACGTCCTTAGGCAGACGCAGCTCGAGTTTTTGTTCCGAATGCTCGTTATAAATAGAGTTTTTGGTGTTCAGCACGCTGACACCGTATCATTTCCACTGTGTCCTTCAAACAATCAGGACTCTTTGTTTCATTATTGCACACAAGAGCTGCTTTTTCTTTCCACGGCTTAAACCCTGCAGACAGTTTGAGTCTCATTCAACTTTACTGAATGTTCAGCTCGTTTTAACAAAGCGCTGTAATCACTCAGTGCTTTTCTGTGTCGTCTTGTGACAAAATCAATCAATACTTTATGATTAACACTCGTCCTGTGTAAGCGATGTGTTAAAAACCATCCGTCTGCTGCAGCGCGTCATTATACATGTTGGAGGACGAGTATTTTTAGAAAATCCAGACTCTTGGCTTCCTAAAGTTAATGAGCAAAAAGTGCTCTTGGTTGAAAACTGGTGCACACTAAGGACGTTTTAATAATGATTGTGAGAGATGTAATTTTTGCAGCCAATTTGGTACTAATACGCCTTAAAATATGATGTTTTGTTGGCTTGGTGGATCTTCCCGCGTGGAGTCTCCATGTTCTCCCCGTGCAGCGTGAGTTCTCTCCGGGTTCTCTGGCTTCCTCCCACAGTCCACAAACATGCTGAGGTTAATTGGTGATTGTAAATTGGTGTGAATGTGAGTGTGCTTGGTTGTCTGTCTCTAAGTGTAGCCCTGTGATAGACTGTTTATCTGTCCAGGTGAACCTGCCTTCACCCTGAGTCAGCTGGGATAGACTCCAGCCCCCCACCACCCTGGTGAGGATTAAGGTGTAGAGATGATGGATGGATGGATGCTGCGTTTTCAGACACATCAGAGGTTGGACAGTGGAGGGAAAAAAAAACCCAAAATGACATAATTTTGACCAAGATAACATCAAAAAATGCCAATACACAGAGAATTCTTTGACATTTCTGTACAGTCATGACCCCCCAGCCTTGGTCCTGTCCCCCTCTTGGTCTCTCCCTGTCAGTACTCGTCAGCTCAATCAGTGACAGCTGCTGTAACTGACTCCCCTGGATCTAATCACCACAGGGCCATAAAATCAGGCCGTCCCTCCATTCTCCACCTGGTCATTGGTTACCTGTTTCCCTGCCACTGCGCCATGAAAAGTCTCCACACTGCCTTGGATTTCCCAGCTGCTTCCTGGTTCCCCGTCCACCATCCAATCCTGCCCACAGCCTGCTGAGCCCTCGTCGCCCTGACCTCCTCCCCACAGCTGGTCCTTGTAGTTTTTGTGAGTACTCCCCTTTTGTTAACTAACATCAGCCTTCTGTATTTTATTATTCGTTCCTCTGTTGGTTTAGTTAGTGATTTTTCGCGTTTTTCTAGTTTCGCCCAGCTCAGATTCCCCATTCTTGATTTAAGTTTTGTTAATTATTTAAAATAGACTCTTTAATCTTGATTTGTTTCTGCACTTGGGTCCAAACCTGTTCCGTGACATGTGCTGCCTCTTTTTGCTGCTCGTCATCTCACTCACGCTGATCATTTGTGATGAGCTGATGGTGGACGACATGACGGTGGAGCTGAGCCGCGTGTTACTTCATTATATTAGTTATATCTGCTCTCAATGTAAACTAGAGTGTTTCTGAAAAAAACGTTTTATTTCTACATCTTGCTTCATAAGAAACACACATTCTGCATTCTGTTTGGTGATATATTTCTTCTTGTAATTACACACTGATATCAAAGCTGTGTAGCTGTAAAACACAACACACATCACACAACATGAAACAAGAGGCAGAAAAGAAGAGATTCAGAAGTATAATCACATCTGCGTTGTGCTAATAAAGCCAGAAATCTGAACCTGCCTCCGGGTCTATATTGACTAAAACGGGCCTTTAGCGAGTGGCAACGCAACTTGGACGGCAAATGTGTTGCTATGCAACCAAAAGTTAGTCAAAAAAAAAAACGTACCATGCACAAAAATAACACGGCTCACTGGGTTTATGGCGCTCGGTAAAACGCAGCCACCTTTCTTGATGCAAGTGAAACATGACATTTTCACAGAAACGTGGAAAAAGGCCCGTGGTGGAGAGGATTGTTGTTGTGTTGGTGCCACGGCAGACGCAAATAGAAGATAAAGAGAAATATAAAGCAGAAAAAAATGAGAACAACATAAAGTGTCATCTCTCAAACTACCTGACTGGCTTCAGAGACAGAACACAAATAAGACAGAGTTAAAAAAATGACAAAAAGGAGAATATTTTTCCTTATTTTGAAAACCACATTTTATATAAAATAAAAAACCCTCTTGATTCTATCGCAAACACACACTCATTACTTATTGCTGCTTTCTGCATGTGAACAGTAATATCGTTCATAATTCCTCGTTTAGTTGATACACAGGAGAGACATGAACATAAAGGGAACATATAATTGAGTGAGCTTTCACCACCACCACCACCACCACCACAGTAACAGCTCTGTGGACCAGCGATGCTTCCAGAAATAGCCTCACCCCAATGATCCAGCCCCGCCACACGGTGTAAGTGCCCAGTGGTGCTGCTGCACCGACAGCCGAGGCGTTTGATGAGTTCACATCAGTCGGCTGTGACAAGCTGACGGAGGGGAGACGGTTATGTGGTCTGACTCCCGCCATCACACGTGTGGTGAACAAACAGATGCACGCATGGATGGACAGACGGATGGGAGGTGACAGCGTGACAACGGCCTGAACGCTTGGCGCAAGACCTCACCGATAAATTGGGACTTCAAGGCTGCCTGTCAGAAGATTAGAATGACTGCTGTCAACGCAATGAGGAGGGTTTTTAGTCCACAGTGGACCTTAAAAGATCCCAGAATGCATTTAAACTGTCAGAGTAAGACGCAGAATTTTATCATATGTGGGTCTCAGAATAAAAATAATAAAGTTCTGAAAGCATCATTTAGTG